CCATCCATTTCTGAAAATTACAGCAAAAGCAAATGATGTATATTCCCTTTAATATGTAATTATTGTCCAAAATTCGTACTAAAAAGAGATTAAGATGAGAATGTATCACAGCTGAGAAACATACAAACTGTGAGTCAAAAAAACAACGAAACCCAAATGTTGGGACTATTGCTTTACTGAAGTTCTGCATATGTAGCACTTACAAAATCTAGGATAAAATTCATAAGGTTTCTTTTAGTACAAGAATCATTCAAATCACCCATGTACTTTTCAAGTTACGGAATTTTAAACACAACCACCATTTTAAAGTTCTGTCCACGGATCACAAAAAAAGGTGTGCGTTCTTTCAGCAAAACGAAAACATTTCACACACATCCCTATGTGATTTGTTTTCGTTTTGCTGAAAGAACACTTACCTTTTTGTGATCCGTGGACAGAACTTTAACACAGTGGTTGTGTTTAAAATTCCGTAACTTGAAAATTACATGACTGATTTGAATGATTCTTGTACTAAAAGAAAGCTTATAAATTGGGCTTTCATATCTTAGATTTTGAAAGTGCTACATGCAGAACTTCACTAAAACAATGGGCCTAACATCTGGGTGTCGGTTTTTTTTTACTCACCCTGTACATGTATGGAACTTTATTATGAAACAAATATTATGTACTGGCAGTTAGCTCAATGGAAGAGCTAGTAGTTTAACTGCCTTACTAGCACCATTGACTGTGGTCAGTAGTCGGATGGGAGACCGTTCCGTATACTGTCCTGGTTGGTGGCTTGTCTGGGACATGATAAGGCTCCTTCAAGCCTGAGTCTTTCGGATGGGACGTTAAACTGTAGGTCCTCTGCATTGTGTAATGCACATAAAACAACCAGGACACTTATCGTGAAAGAGAAGGCGCCCTCTCTGAGCATCCAGTTCGGAGTATGTGGTCTATGTGATGCGCATTTAAACATATTCATACATATATGGAATTTGCGCAGTATACAAATGAATAAATTATTGTGGGATAATTTGTTCAGAAAATAAATTTGCATGAAATGAAAATAGCACTTTTCACCAAAACCTAAGAATATGTAAGTCACAAAATCATATATTATAAATATATCACATTGTAATTACTCCTCCAAAAATCAATAAAACTGTGTTGGGGCAGTCTGGGCGATTTGAAGAGTGAATGGCAGGGTGGTTGCAGGTGTTTTGAGGGCTAATTGGTTAATTACTTAATACTGTTATTAATCGGCTTTTGAAGTGTATTACAAATACATCTGAAACTGAATTTGACGAATAACATGGACGACGCTAACGTACAGGTAACATATTTTATTTATTTTTTTTCTTGAGAGCAATACACCTTTACGTTTCTAGTTACGTACGTTTGAAAGGCAGTCTCTTTTTTTATCAAATCTTTTTCAAGTGACCACAAAATGCTTGTTACGTGTACGTGTGCATCCATCCAATATGTGTTCGTGGAACCTCTTGAAAAAGTATGCGTTGCTGATCTATGTCCCATCCACATCACGAGGGTTTGCACGTAAAAAAAAAAAAGAATCCCCAGTTGGATGGTTGTTCGGTTCATTTTCAGTAATGACTTACATGTTGCCATGGATACCCAGCAACTGTTCCACTAATAAAGCTGCCATGGCCACAAATGACGTACATTGACATGTACTTTTTTTTTTTTTTTAATAAATCCAGTTTTTGCATGAGGATAGAAACCACATTCAAATTGATTCCTGTAGATTCAGGCAAATTCGATATGTAATATTGCATCTACTCTTTTTTTTACAGTATCATGATGAACTCTTTCCCTATAGAAATATAAAATAAAAAAAACGTATCCGGTTGCAAGTTTCCCCAAGGCAAATTTACTATTTATTTCTTATCAAAGCCTATTTCCCAATAAAAAAATCTATAGGCTTTTTTTCCCTTACACCAAACTCCAACCAATTTTGTTTGCTCCTTACCTATTGGAGCACAAAATCGGCGGAAGAGTTACGCGCCATTAAGTATGAAAACCTTTTTTTTCTTTTTCGGGGATACATTGTTAGGTCGAAAATTTTACTAGAGCAGTGCCAAATTGAGAGGAATAAAAAGCAACTACACACACTTTCAGTTTGAATTGTAAAGGCTGTTTATTTGCAAAGGTTAAATTCAAGTAATGTACACGTAGGTGGAAAATCTTATTCATTGGCCAACATTGTAGGCAATTTATCAAACCAAATTTTCATTACGAAAGACTCCAAACGATTTTTGTATTTGTTACGGAGGGAGTTTGCTAAATTCATAATCACTCTTGGAGAACAACTGCATTAAAACTCCCTAGGCCTTTTTGCTAGGATGTAGCCTCAATCCTGCAAAATCCTCCAATTGGCCTCATGGAAAAATAGCATATAGCCTCAGTCCTGCAAATTCTTCCATTATTTCTTGTATAGTCCGTGGAGGGGTGACCACTGCCTGAATCCTGCAAAATCCTGCGGCAGTGACCATCAATATAATGTTGAGGCTTGGCCAGTGACATCCTGGAGCAGTACGGAGGATTTCAAGCATAATCCAGGACTATATTTATACATGGCTGAGCAAAAACAACCCAAGGTCCGGCCCAAGACCTTGAAACAGTGCATCCTATGAAATCAGTAACGCACTTTTGCCATGTAACCTCAATCCTCAAAGTTCCTCCACTTTGGCAAAGAGGATTTTGAAGGAATCAGGGCGGTAAGGGTTAAGGAGTGCATCACAAAAACTCTGCCCAATGAATGACGCCCCCTCTCTGTTTCTGCCCAGCCGCATGATATGCCGATTTAGCACTTTAGTATCGAGGGGAAATGGCACTACAAATGACCGATATCTGGCTGTGATATCGTTGATGTCACTGTCTGAATTTGCCAGTCATGTCTGAATCTTGTGATTCATACTGAGAGATTATGAGAAGTCATCAGTTTTACATGTAGTGCGTGTATGCACTTTTACACATAGTGAACTGTATTTAGGGACATCATTGAAAATGTGTTCAATATTGTACAAATGTATGTATATAGAGAACATAGAGTTTTTAATGTTCTTGTAAAGTAGTGGTCTTGTTTACTGCAATCCTTCGAGACCCTTCTCGTTTGAATAATTCATACTCTGTGTAGGACTGTTCCAAATATTCCGAATATTTGAATACTCGATCATCAACTGATTATTCAAAAAGATTTTTGCTGCTTTGAATATTCAAAAACAAAAAAACGACTGTGATGTAACTTTATCATAAAGTTGCAGCATTTTATTGTCAAGATGCCACCTTTTTTTTTGTCAATGGTAACTTTTGGGTCGACGGCTGTTCATTATTTCTATCCTTTTAGCTGGTTAAAACCCTGGACAGTTATAATACTTACTGCAAAACACTCCATATGGATCGCCGCACGCAAAGTTTAACTGGCGCGCTCTGCGTGTGACTTTTCACCGGCGTGGCACGCAGTTGCCGCTGATAGTTTCAAATATCCGAATATTCGGTCAGACACAGTTTCGAGTAATCGAATACCAAATTTTTTGAAAGTGGACAGCCCTAATATTATGTGCATGGTTAAGAGGTGTGCCATTAAATGATGTGTTGTTGAATGGGATTTAGTTGGTCATGACAATACCACAAAAGGGTCCAAATTGCTCCTAAGTTGGACCACTCAGAAATGCCAGATTGGGTTAAAATTCACAGATGCCGCAGTCGGCAAACTGAAGGGTTATTCTGTGGGGTCTGCCTGTCAGAACGGACACCAGACTTACCTAAGGTGTGAACAGGATAAAGTGAAGTTTGTTCCTGTAGTTAGAGTGATCTGTGGACACCTTGTAAATCACAGAGCTGTCCGAGTGCGTTGGACAGAACTGCGTTTAATTTTACAAAATAAAGGCAAGCAACAGCTCCGATGATAATCACAGTTGACCAGAAAAAAAGTGCACCGTCAAATCTTTTAATCGCCCTGTTGTTCGATTGTCCTCGCTCCTGTAAAGCTAGATTTGGCCCACACAGAATGCACCTGTTTGGTTGCGTGAGGTGTGGGACGGGAGGGGGGTTTGGGGTTGGGTTCGTTGGGTGACCGCTAGTGATGAGACATCGTAGTGATCTCTTCTATTGTTGTTTGGAAACCAAGTGACCTTATATTCGGTGTAGACTCCACGGCTGGTTTTAATCCGAAAGTTAGAGCTTTACAGACGAGCTGGGGCCCAGCAGAGTTGTTGACTCACACTTTGAACCGCAGCTGGGGATTCTTTTGTCTTAAAAGTTCCCGAAGAAGAACTTGAAGAGAAAAATAAGCGGGAAAATGGTCGGAGAAGTAGGAGCTTTACCAAATTGCTGTGAGACATTTGATTACTGGCTCTGCGGTAAACACATTAGACAGAAGCCTGTCAATTTTTTTTTTTTTTTTTCTCTCTATTTTTTGTTTCTATTTTTTATTTTTTTTTTTTTTTATTTTTTTTTTTGATCACTCTTTCTTTCCTTTTTGGATCACTCTTGGCAGCATTCCACAACTTGCTTCTAAGGGATATAAAGTCCAACGATTTGTAGTTTTTTGCCCTTTTTTTTTTGCACTGAACATTTGCCATTTAACTTCGAGAGCAAACTGGGCAGGGCAAGCCAGATGAAAACCAAAAGTAAAAGAACACAAAATCGTGCATTACATCTGAAACTTGAGTCTTCACGAGTCCAACATGCAAATTTGCTCCGCTTGTTTCAGTTGCATATTCGAGTGTTACAGTAATTGACCGCAAATTAAGCTCTGAACCACTTTGAAATTTTTGTCATGATTTATTATCATAAATTCACTTTCAAATTACATGTGTGCTTGGATGTGAACACATGTACATGCAGATCTACAAAAGTTTCGTTCTACATAGACGTTGTGTTACTTTATAGTAACAAGTTCACATTCACAGTACATGTGCATGTAGTGATTACAAACTGTTTCAAAGCATTTAGACTTTTGTAACTTTATGTCCCGTCTTTTCTGTTTCTCTTCTCAGATCTACACCCGGCCGTGCCGCCCCCAACTCCGGGCACCAACGCGTTAATGAATGCCTGTCTACGCGAGAGTTTCAGCAGTTTCCAGAAGGAGCAAGATCGGCTGGGAATCCCCCGAGGTAAGCCAAAAAAAAAACGACGGGACAAAATGGGCTCCAAAATTAGTTCAGGATCCTGCCCACTCACGCCCACCACTGCCTTGGGCCTCTAAAGAGTAAACAAATTGAAGCGTTTTTTATTTCCACAAGCAAAATGAAATCAAAATAGAACTTCTGTTTTTACACATCTTCCCATCTGTGTACAAAAGTTATATCAGTTAGTCAGTGTTTTGCATTGCAAACTTAGACGCCAGTGCAACTATGAGTTTTTTAATGTCCGTACGTTTTGTCATCTTTGTTAATGACATCACCAGTTGCCTCTTTTATTATAAAAGGATGTGTCAAAAAGCTCGATCATATTTGTGAGGCGTTGTCGCAAAATGAGACGGGAACTGGGCACAGGTTGCTGAGGAGAAAAATGAAGAAAAAAAAAACGAATGGGGTGATTTTTTTCCCCCCGATTTTCCAATTGATTGATATTGTAATCTGTGATGTGTCTACTACACATATTTTAAAAGAAATAGTTTAAGAACCATAGAATGAAAGTGGTTCTAAGGAAAACAATTCTTAACTTACATTTTCATGTATACAAAATTGGACACTTTAAAGACCTTTTTCTTAGTATTTTAGTGTTTGACATGTTGATAAATGCGAACTTTTAACAACCATAACTTGTCAACGGAATGTCCAATTGAAGTGCAACAAACAGTATTGTGTAAGGAGAATTGTATTCTCTATCCTAATACCCTTGTTCCAACAGACCCTAAAGTGAGTAATAGACAGTGAGGTTTTAGGCGCTTCATGTCAGAAAAATCTCATTCATGTTTATTCTCATAAACTGAAGCCACTTGATCTCGCATTGTACCTGATTTCCTCAAATTTAGATGATTTATGGAGACTTCATGTTTGAAAATACACATCAGCTTTAAGTCTTGCGGTCTGTTCATGCTAAACCAAAGTTCATCATAAATTTTGGTGCCATAGCAAGTATTCAGGCTAAAATTAACAAAACTTTAATAACACATTTTGGCTCTTAGCAACTTTTTCTTGGCATCGAATTCACTTCGCACATTCTTTTGCAAATTAAAAGTATTAAATGGCAAAAAGAAATAATGAACCATCCCCCAAATTATTAGTACATGTATTCTTTGTTAATACAAACTCGTTCGAACCGAGCCAAATTGTTTGTTTTTCAAGAAAAGTGGTATTTTTGTATCAGTTTCCAACGCTGGTCAACCGACCAGCGTTGGAAAAAACTGGCTTTTTTTCAAAAACTGGCCCCAATTGACCATCGCACTTGTTTGCAATCGATTACACACCTATGAACGGGTACAAGCCAGCTAGACTGGTTCCCTGACCTTACAATTCCCCAATGTATGTAAACTGCTCTGTTTCTTCTTATATATGGAGTCAGGGAACCAGACTACAGGAAAATGATTGTTTTTCTTGGGTTTTTATAGCATTTTCGAACCCTAAACCTCAAAAAAGTCAGTGTATTACATAACTATATTTGCTATATATTTCCAACCCCCAAATTCCATCCATTTCTGAAAATTACAGCAAAAGGCAAATGATGTATATTCCCTTTAACGAGAGCCGACTGTAACTGTTTGTTCCAACAGACCCAACACAATGGACGGAGTGCCAAGTGGTGGCGTGGGTCCTGTGGGCCATCAAGGAGTTCAGCCTGGAGGGTGTCTCCGTCTCCAATCTGCGCATCCCGGGCCACGAGCTCTGTGCGCTGGACAAGGCCGACTTCCTCAGTCGGGTGCCGCCCTTCATGGGGGACATTCTGTGGGAGCACATTGACATGCTCCGAAAAGGTACGGGACATGTTTGATTTGTGTTTGAAAGGTACACTGGCAACAGACATGTACATGTAGCTTGTATACATGTGTACTTGTACCAAATGCACGATATTAATGTATGAGCTGTGTTGGATGATTCTTGATGATTCTTTACATTTTTTTTATGCATTCAGGGGATTATCTTCAATTCTTTGTTTAATTTATTTAATTTAGTTAAGGCCAACAAAAATAAGTCTCCGGTTTCTGGTATGGAGCTTGCCCAAAAAGTGGTGCGGCGACGCAGCTTTTTTTTTTTTTTTTTACCTGATTTTTTTGCCTCAAATGTCGGCTGATGACTGCAAATGGTGCCCGACTAGACTTAGTGCAAATATATGGGAGTCCAGAGAGGCCACCTAAAGCTTATTCTCGATCATAACCCCATCTAAAAACATGTTAAAATTGTGCAGCAGCAGGATTCCAGTCAAACCAGTGAATTTGGCGGTTTTGAGACATCATCTTTCATTGAAAAAAAACTTTTTCATTTTGCCGACGCGCATGGCTACGGCGAGGCGCGCGCATACTGGAAACCGGGGACTTTTTGGGGGGGGGCCTAAAGGTGGAGTACACCATTTGTGATTGGTGCATTTTTTTCGTTTGGAAGCAACAAAAGTGCTCAAAATCTAAAGACGGGTGCTTAACAACTGACCTGATGAAGCATTAGCTCTGTGAATGCTGTATATTTTGGGAAAAAAACACAACTTTCTGGATCTACTTTTTGGATAGATGCAAATAGTCTACGCTACCTTTAAAAGAAAACTACTCAGAAGAGTTTGCGTTTCTGAAACGTATTTGCAAAGTTGTGTCTGACTTGATTTTTGTTTTCTCTCTTCGAAAATCTGTAGAATGTGCCAGCCCACCGCCACAATCCGAGCCCGTGGTTTCCACAGCGACGACGGTGACAACGACACAGGCAGACGTCAAGCTAGAATCTGCCTACACGAGCTGCATGCCGCGCTTCGACGACTTTCTCAGTCATGGTAAGTGCCAGCTTTTTTTTTTTTTTTTTGCTTTTTCTTTTTTTTTCTTCTTGTTTTGTGGGTTTTTTTTCCGTTCTTTTCTCCTCCTCAAAGATGTTGTTTATTGGGCGGCGAAAAAACACTTGTCTTAATTGATTCTTCTAGCGTGCCCTGAGCGTTAGATCTCAGGACAGGCATTTGGCACTGGACCAAAGTGGGAGTAGCGAGGCCGCGGTGCAACGGGGGCTGCACTTTGCCAACAGCTGCCCAGCTGTCTTAGGGACGGACACAAAGTGACTTCTGGGCTTGCTCGGACATGCATGCAGCTTTCAGCTCAAAAGTTAAAGTTAATAAACTTGGCAAATCTACTTGTTTATTATTTTACCACAAAAATGTACTTAATGTTTGAATTAGGTCACATAACATGTTTGTGAGTTTTGGTCAGCCTGCTCCTTGCTGCAAATTATGTGTATCATTGTATGTGTTCTACATAACCCCGGAGGACCGACACACACAGGGAGAACAACAGATCCTTTTTGTTGGAAACAGTCCTCTGTAGTAAGTTTGTGTGCTTAGTCTATGGGAGAGTGATATATTACAGGGACAAAGCGAAACACAAAGCATTGTCCTCATGAGTGTAGTAATACTATAAGTAATACTCTAATGTTATGGAATTTTAGTTTTAGCAGATCCACCGGTATATGTACATCTTCTAAACCTCATTGATTTAAAAAAAAAAAATTACTGAATGCATTTTTGTCACAAATACGTGTTGGTGCAAGCTATATTTGAAGTACATGTAACTCAATTATCGTGACATTCCAACAAAAGATTTAGGTCATAGGAGTTGCTTCTATCTCTTCTCTTTCACTGTAAGCCAAGATCAGGAATCTTTGTTTTTGAAATCTGAACTTAGCGGCAATTTATCGGGTCTGCACAAACTGTCAACGCGGTTGATAAACTGACTGCAAAACTTTGTAAGGAGAAGGTATTGTTGCAGTGCCAATCAAACAAGACAAGGTGCATACACACACACAACCTGCGGGTGGTAGCTTGTCTTTATCACACACTGAAATAGTGCCTATGATATCTATGCATGGATGGAATAAGCCAGGCTGGCGGTGTAGAAAATATGGAGTTTCAACCGGTGTTGGCTTGTGGTGTAACCTAGACAGATTGGTCATGCTAGCATTTCATAACATTGTGGAGGAGGCATTTTTGTCATTGTAATCAATCATGACTGACACCTGAGCAAGTCGCATCGTACACGGTGTACATTTAGAGTTGTTTGGGCTGTGCATGTTCTTCGAATATTTTAGTGATTGATTGTTCTATAAACTTGGACTTGATCGCATAATTGAATATTACAAATGATCTGATCAAGTTTGACATGCGTCGGGTTCAAACCTGGCCACCAAATCAGAAAAATGAACTTAAAAAAATGCTGTTCTGATTTTCGGTTGGCAAACAAATATGTTCGGTTGTTCGGTATAGTTGGCTCAGCTCAAGGTGTGTAGTCTTGGCCTACACGTAGCGCATATGTTTACAAGCGTTGGACGAGCCATTGAACCTGTTCTTAATCGCTCATTCGTTCCCTAAGCCTAGGCAGAAAATCAAAAAATAAAGTGCTGATAAGCAATGGCCAAGACGTTTAGTGCGAGTAGGACCACAGATTCTAATTGTTGTGCCATTAGAGGGCGCACTATGCACTGTCCAGTACCGCTGTGACTCGGTTCAAATCCTGCCTGGGCCAAAGTGTGGATTGGGTTTTCAGTCCCTACATGATTCCGTGGGTTTTCCTCAGAATATTCTTCTGAGGTTTCCTCCCACGTCTACAAATGTGTTAATTTCTTCACATTGTCTTCTCTTTACTGGGCCCATGGGAGATCAGTGGATGCAACTGAATGGGCTGCCCAGTTAAAACAAGAATTAATACTTGATGTAACTTCAACACACTATCCAAAACCAATTTTCTTTTTTAGTCTCATTTAACCCAACCTATGTTTTGTTGTTATAAAAAAATGATTTGAGTTTCGGTTATGTTTGATTATTTGAATTGCCAAAACAAATAGGAGTTCATGGAATAGGAAATAATAAAAAAAAAAGTATTTAAACAAAACCAAAGAGGATTTGCTATAAATGGCAAAGGGTCCATTGTTATAGAGGGTCGATCGGCAACTTCAATGCAGAAATTTCAACACTAGCGACTACCCACTGGCAACCGTGTCCAATGCTCAACTGCCTTTTATACCCTTTTTTTGGTCGTCATAGAGGGCGTTGTGGGTGTGGTTTGGACTAGTCTATCATAGATGTTATGGAGCTTGTAAGCCCCGTCGTCTTTATTGAGAATGTTCTCCCCTTATTTAAAGAAAAAAGTTTCTGCTTACTGTTTTTAAGCAGCGCCATGAAATTGGGCCCAGTTGTGAGCTCCAGTCCGTGCCGAACAAAAAACAAAAAAAGGAAAACTTTCTACCAGCGATTATCGACCGGTTCGTCCTTGTAACTCTCTAATCATGGGTAACACAGCCGCCAGCGACTGCCAATCATTGCCAGTATGGCCGTGATACCGAGTGGCATGCTGATCGGAGATACCATCGTGGTGGTGGTAGGCCCAGCCCCTTCCTGTTGGTAGAGCTGGAAAAGCATCCTCAGCGACTCTATCTCGGCCACCTTTGGGCCCGACTTCCTGCACGTCACCAGAGATACCACTCAGAGAAGAAAAAGAAAAAAAAAGTTTCGCTGAAAAAGAAAAGAGAAAAAAAAACACAGGGTGACTGGTTGTTAACCAGAAGTTGGGACCAGAAGTCAGCCGGAAGCTGTGGGATGATCTCTGTTGTTTTAGAGCCAGTGCTAAAGTTTGCATCGACCGGTGTAAGTTGTGCATGCAGTGCGTGCACAGTTGTACATGTACGCGCTTGTAACGTCAACCTAGAGCTGGTGTCAGACATAAGTTTTTTAAAGTCGGTGGACTGTAGTTGACAAACGCGCATCACTGACGCGGTGGATGAAGCCCCATTGTCGCAGGAGTGAACCCATGCGGCTTCTCCAAGTTCACCTGTGATTTGTACAGAGTTTGTGATATTTGCTCCACTTCTGTGGCTCTCCATGAAAGAGACAGTCGGTGTAAGCAAGAAATTGAGTTAAATGCATCGACAACCTGTGGATGGATGATAACAGGGCAAGCGGTCGAACAGGTTGACTTGTTGGCGATCCGAGTGCGGCTCCCCGAAGAAACTGAAATTATCCGAGGAAATTAGGTAAACGTGTATTATAGTCAATGATGAATCGGTGCTGAACTCTGAAAATTTACTGCAGCTTCTGGAACTTGGAGGGGGAAACACTTCTGTCGCAATCCCGATTTCAACTTCAATCCGTCTCTAGAGTCCTCAGCTGAATAATACAGCTTCAAATCACACCGTGGGCATTCACTGAAAATCCGACGGTTTGAGAGGCTCCGGACATTGTTGGAGACTTGGAGAGCAACCGGAAGCGCAGCAAGCCGATTAGTATATCGCTCGGGAGTCTGCTTTCGTATACAGATGCGCTTTTTGGACATCCAAGTCCACAACCTGACGTAGCCCGGGGCATGCAGTTTATTGTTTGTAGGTCAGCTCCGTCAGGCTCTGCGAAGCAACAACTCCCCGAAGGATACTCGACAAAAGATCTGTCAGATCCTGAATCTGTTTTTCTTCAGGCTCTCTACTCGGTTGATCGAGCTCTCGGTCTTCTTCGTGCCGGGCCCAGCTGGCTTTGATTTGGCCCCATTGTTTTGATGTTACCCCGAACCTCAACAGGAAATTACCGATCAGAGTCGCCGAGTTTTGGATCGTCCTGACTCCACTGCAGTCACTGTCCATGCAAAAACAAATCTCTTTGAATCACCAAATATCCTTCGGCGGTGCAACCTCCCAACTTTCACCCTTGACCCTGGTTTACTTGAGTTCAAAGACAAAGAATTTAAGGAGCTAAGCACAGTTTTTTTACAACAAAGGTTCAAAATAGCATCAAATTGACCACGCCTTCGAGATCCTTGAGTTATTCATGAGGACCATCTTTAACAAATGGTTTCCAACGGGTTATAAGATCCCTGAAGAGCTAACGAGAAGTGGATGACCGATCGACATCCAGTTGGGAATCAGTCCTGAAGTAATCTCTGCCTTCCCCCCTGGCATTTTCAGATCGCTATCAAACACTTACAGAACTTAAACCCAAATGTGGACCAACGTTCATAGAAATCCTCGAAATATGGAGTTTGACCTCGGTGAGTGTAAAAAAAATATCTTCCATTTAATGGCAACATCGGGTTTTAGGTTCTATAATTAAGAAGGTTTTAACAAATTTGACAAATTCTGAGAGAGGGTAAGAGAGCATGCATGCTGTTAAGGGTCAAGTGAGCCTTACTCAAAATTCTGAAAGAATTAGTTCCGAACAAACTATGAATTTTGGGTGTGGAAACTAAGTGGTTGTGGACAAATCCATGCCGGAACCAAATATACATGTAATCAATCTCAGACTTAGAACTAGAATTTTGACTCCAGTTTTTGGATCAGAGTCACTGTTATTGCCCAGTTCCCAAGAGCTTCCATTCAAGATTCGTCAGAACTAGACTTGTGTCGTTTCTGGGAGAGTAACAATCTTGCAATAGTGATCTACATGTATGACTATAGTTGTGTGTTTGTTCCTCGATATAGTTTAAAGGGAAGATACAACATTTGCAAACATCAAAAATCGAAATGATCAAATTATCATGAAATACCTTACTGGATTGCTAAGAAATGACAGTCTAAAGCATCCTGTAAAATCGTGGCTCCTGGTGTGCTGCCATTTGCAAGAAAACTTGTATTTTTCCAACGCTGGTCGGCCGACCAGTGTTGGAGAAAACTGGCTTTTTTTCAAAAACTGCACCTAATTTTTCATATTTAGTTATTCCACATTTTCTTTGCAATTGATTACACTCCTGTGAAGGGGTACAAACCTGCCAGACTGATTCTCTGACCTTACAATTCTCTTACAAGTCTACAAATTGCTCTGTTTCATCTTAAGTGGGGTCAAGGAACCAGACTACAAGAACACGATTGGTTCTCTTGGCTTTTCCAGCATCTACAAGCCCAAACCCTGAAACAAGTCAGTTTAGCAATACTTGCTATAACATACTAATCCTCCAAATCCATTTATTTCTGAAAAGAGCAGCAAAAGCAAACGTTGTACATTCCCTTTAAGTTGAATCAGAACAGAATTGCGACTCCTGGACTGAATCGGAATCTATTCCCAAAATGACGGACTTGCCCAATCTTATCGTGAAAGTTGATCCAGAATATTTCTCAAGAAATACATGTACAAGACTGACTACATGTACGTCGGTGAAGAGCAAAACCTCATTTGATTTACATGTACAGTGTACATATACATGTACATGTACGGTCCATGAAATATGCTTTTATGATTTTGTCTCATTTTTTTGGTCCGCTGCAGGTTTTTCGGTGGAGCAACCGCAGGCGGTTCCCGTGGCCACCACCCCCACCACCTTCAGCGACGGCATGTACCAGATCTCGGAGTCGCTGCAGACCCTCAACGAGTTCAACGCGGAGGACATCCTGAACATCAAGCAGGAGGACCCCGGCAGCAGCTCGGACTACTACAGCCTGGAGCCCTCGCCCAGCTCCAACAACTACCTGGAGGCGGCCACGCCCGAGTTCTACAGCAACCCTATGATGTTTGACCCCAACGCCACATACTTCCAGAACAACAACTACAGTAAAAGTGAGTCTCTTTCTATAATGGATCATTCTATAAATTTGGGGTCCGCTTTTTTCCTGTCCTTGTTACATGATTTTATCAATCTGGATGCAGTCCTTAAGGTCTCCCAAAAAAGTCTTTGGTTTCTGGTATGGAGCTTGCCCCAAAAGTGGTGCGGCGACGCCAGTTTGTTTTTGGTTTTTTTTTGTTTTTTGTTTTTTACTTTTTTGTTTCTTCAAATGTCGGCTGGTGACTGCAAATGGTGCCCGACTATTAAAATTAAGTGGAAAATGTATGGAAGCTCAGAGAGGCCACATAAACCTTATACTCGAATGTAACCCCATCTTAAAACACGTTAAAATTGTGCAGAAGCAGGATTCCAGTCGAGCCAGTGAGTTTGGCGGTTTTGAGACATCATCTTACATTGAAAAAAAAAACTTTTTAATTTTGCCGACATGCATGGCTACCGCGACATGCGCGCAGACCAGAAACCGGATCCTTTTTTTGGGGGGGGGGGCCGAAAGGTAGAGTACATCAATTGTCATTTGTGTATTTTTTTTTTGAAGCAACAAAAGTACACAAAATCTAAATAAGGGTGCTTAACAACTAACCTGATGAAGTTTCAGTTCCGTGAATGCTGTATATTCTGAGAAAACAACATTCCTTGATCTCGATTTCAATTCAAAAGTTGCTGAGACATGTTTTGAATTTCGCCCAAAATCAGCATTCGGGAAACTTTCTCATTCAGTCGATTGCAGCTACGCGATGTCACGCGCTAAACTGACGAATAGTAGCAACTGCGAGCGTGTGCATCGTGTCAATGCTTACGCGCACTCATTCACAGCTTCGCCAAATTAAAAAACGAACTACGTCTTTTGGAGCATCATTGGACATGGCCTTCTTTTATTGTTTCCTTCAAAATGACAGCATGCCAGAAAGAATCATTTCACAGGGAGTTTAGTCCCATTTCAATCTTTAAACCAAGTTTGCTTTTCAACAATTATTTTTGTCAGTTATTGGATAGCTGCAAAATAATGTAATTTGCCTTTAATGCAGTTGTTTTCAAAGAGTGATTATGAATAGCAAACTTCCTACCCAACAAATAAAAAATGGTTGGAAGTCATTCTTAACTTTTTTCCTGTCCCTGTTCAGAGGTAACAGGGACAGGAAAAATATCACACTTTGGACCCGTAAAAGTTTTAGAATGACCCATACATGTATGTCTTGGGTCTGATTTAGTGGCGCTCCTTCTATATCAGCATATAAAGTTGTGCTAACTGGTGCAGAAAAGTTATGCAAACCTTTAAACTCTCTATTCCAAAAATCAGTCAGTTGACTGATCCTTGGAAATCACAACATGTCTTGATTTCTCCTACAAATAACATCAAGCCAGATGGAATCATTTCATGTGGTGTTAGGCAAAAAAAAAAGTCTCCGGTTTGTAGTATGGAGCTTGCCCAAAAAGTGGTGCGGCGACACGGCTTTTTTTTTTTTTTTTTACCTGATTTTTTTGCTTCAAATGTGTGCTGATGACTGCAAATGGTGCCCAACTAAACTTAGTGCAAATATATGGGAGTCCAGAGAAGCAACATAAAGCTTTTTCTCGACCATAACCCAATCTAAAAACACGTTAAAATTGTGCAGCAACAGGATTCCAGTCAAACCAGTGAGTTTGGCAGTTTTGAGACATCATCTTTCATTGAAAAAAAACTTTTTCATTTTGCCGACGCGCATGGCTACGGCGAGGCACGCGCATACCAGAAACCGGAGACTTTTTGGGGGGGGGGGGGTCTTAAGTACCAGTACAATCATTAATCCAAGTAAGCTTTTTGATAACAATCTTGCAAGTTACTTTTGGACTAAATGCAAATAATCTGATGCCTTTAATAACTATGAAACCTGTGACTCATTGGGTAACATATCCTTTTGCAAAGTACATACATGTGCATGTAATCAAAATAGATACAATTATTCATGCTCCGTCTAATTCAAAGTGGTTTTCAACTGACCACTATCCAGTACCCATATCATAGCGTACAGTACATAAGCCTACGCATAAATCAGCAGTCCGCTCACACAACACGTACGCGTAGGATTATGCGTACATGCACATGTATGGCACTCGGTAATACCCCCCCCCCCCTTCCTCTCCTTCCTGGAAGTTTTCAATTAGCGTTGGAAGCGACCCTGCCCAACATCAAACACAGCGGGGAAGTTTTTCTTGCGCTTAGAAAAAAGAGAGAGCGCGGGAGAGCGAGGGAGTGAGAACCGAATCAGCAGTTGAGTCATCTGACTTAGGTTATCCCAAAACAATCCGTCTTAGTCACGCTGCATCCCCTCCGAATAAAGAATTGACTTGAAATTATGAACTCACCCACATTGAAATTTGTATCCTTGTGGAGGCATTTCTTTGTTCTCGTGTAGTAAAGTTTTGGTGTTTGAAATTGTAGTTTCAAAATGCTCTCACTTTAACCAGAATTAATTTCCTTGGCTGAAATTCGGACGTAATATCTCTTTTCTAAAACTCTTCCACTTGCGACAGATCAACCCACCTTGGAAATTCCTAGTTTTTGAGTAAAATCCATATATCTATTTGTGTGAAAACCTTGTGGGGACGTATTCATCTATAGAAATTGCCCTGTGGAGACGTATACAATCTTTTGTTCCCTATTGTGTGCATGTCTCCAGAGGGCACAGTGTATCAGATTTATGCAGTGCATGTGAACATACATCTACCTCACTTTTGTAACAATGTATGACATTTTAAAAGGCATATTAAGGGTAGGGAACGGGCTAAGAACCTGGGAAATGATTCAATGGAAATGATTCAATTACCTGGAGTAAGTAAGGTTTTAAATGATGGAAGACACCACAATCACATTTTTAAAGTTTCAAAGCATGAGTACATGATTTTGTTTACAACATTTTAGATACTTTAGTGAAAAATAGATTAAATGTTGAATAAAAAGACATAGAAAGTACAAGTAGATGCCCGACATTATTATAGTTGTGCAATGGAACGTACACCTACATGTTCATAACATATGACAATTTCGACAACCTCATTATAGTTGGTTATTTCGAGCAGAAAATCCCTAGAAAAATAAACAGTTTTCCGCCTCCAAAAAAAGAAAAATACTCTGGTAAAACAACATGAAAATGAAAGAACAAAAGTACATGGTATATTTTTTCATCATATAGACACAGAGGCTGGCGAATATCAAGTTGGGCACTCCTGGGAACAGGCAGTCAAAGAGTTGATACATTTGGACCAAAGAAAATCAGAACAGCTTTTCATTAAAAAAAAATTAGATTTTTTCTGTATTCAATTCTTGTTTGAAAGAAATCAGTGGATTACAAGCATGCACTCTATGGTCACTTAACACAGTCTAACTGTAGTTTTAGGTCAGTGTATGCGCATGAAAATCAGATCTTCGAGGATTATTTGGCAGGTTTCCTGTGTGCAATGAAAATATCTTGGGAAATAAAATTTACTGGTACCGGTAGATGCAGAATCTATTTTTCAGCGAAACAAAGTCGATATCAATAAGCATGAATTCTTGAAAAGGGTAGCACTGTTGGGAGTATAAAACTAAGAGTCAAGCATGTTTAGTTATTGAATTATTACTTTGCAAATTTTGAATTACTTGCAGCTCAACAATAATTTTGTTTTCGCAGGGTAGGCTGGTTCCCACCCAAATCAGTAGTACAAACCAGGAGCCAGTGTGTTTGCAAAGGAGATTGATACAGTTTTTGGCCAAACGAAAAACCTGTTTACAGAGGGTTGCAGATATCCAAAAGAAAAAAGGAGTTTTATGGTTGGAAGAAAAAACATACAAGTTGATAAATTTATTAAGAGAAAAAAAAAATTGAATTTGTTGAAGAGTACATGGAATGCAACTTTCAGCAAAATGTTAACAGAAATACAAGGCTAAACAGAGACTTGTGAGGATCATAACTCAAACAATTTCGGCAATATATACATGTATCTTTTTAATTTAAAGGTTTTTTTAACTTAAACAATGTTTTGACGCTTTAAAGTTTTCAATTTTAAGCGTGGAATTAATTTATGAAATGAACAATAGTTTTTTTCTCTGGACAAAAATTTGACTTGGGTTCAATCACATTTGTGGCAATCAGAATAAAAGTTCCAAGCTGAAAGTTAATTCTAACTTCAATCATGTAGAACATTTTGCCGTATTCAATTGGTGCAGTCCTATAAATAAGTGTATATAACAGAATGCTGAATTGTACAGTGCTTTTGAAAGAAATTTGGTATGGAAATGGCACTCAAGAAATTAAAGAAATGTTAAATGTTTAATCATGAAGATTCCCACTGAACACTGTTCTGTTTGTTGGTCTCAAGTTGCAAAATGTTGCCGCTTCTTTCAAACAAATTAAACCAATATATGATAAACTGCCTTTTTTAATGCAATCACAAAATAATATGGCAATGTAAACTGGGATTTTTGTTGGTTTTGAATTGCACAAAGTTAAGAAAAGTTACAAAAACTATCCCTGACCTACAACTTAAGTTTACATAAGTACAAGCTGCATTGCACACACTAGAGTACATGTACGCGTGTGGGTGCATGCAGTTAATACCACACATAGGACATGGGTGTTTTAACAGTAACTTTTTTTTTTAAGTCAAATGTCAGCCGATGCTTCTCTTCTTTTTTTTTTCCTGAGAGAGGAAATGACATCAGTGCCTGATGCTAACCGCAGTCTTCCTCTTTGCTGTGGAAGGGCTTACTAGGGCAGGACATCACAGGCTAGGGGTCTCTTCCTGTGCAGATGTTCTATCAAAGGGGGGGTTTTAAAGTGCCATTGTGTTGTCTTTAACTTTGACCTTGTAAAAAAGTTTCTTTCAGAGTAACTTATTTGAACATTCATTCTGAAAAAAAATACCTCCTTAGGTCTAAAAAGAAAGAAAGAACACAATTTTGGTCTGACATTTTCTTTCTCTGAGCGAGACAAACGAGATTTGTGTATTAAGATTTTCTTGTGTGATTAAGAAAAAAAAATAGTTTTGGCTGGTTAACAATATCAAACTCCTGTTTATATTTTGTCACATTCATAAACTTAGTATCCTGAGGCCAAGGTATTTAAAAAAAGATGGAAAGTTTGATTTCAGTAAATATTTTTAAGTAAGAAATTTAGAAGCTGCTTTAAAATCCTGCTCCATGGGACGACTTCAATTTATCATAGAAGTTAGGTGGCTTGGCCAAAGTAAACTTCACCAGTTGGATGATAATATGTGTACAGCTAATTCCAGAGTAAAGAAGTTTTAAGCTAAAAACTAGAGATTCACGTTTGTTGAGTTACAAACGCTAGGTGATCAGGCCAAAAACTCTTTCATAGGAATGATCGTTCATTTTGTTCATGAGTTATAAATGACAGAAATCTGTCATATTTTAAACAAAAATTGCTTGTAATTTGATAACTCATGATGTTATCATGACGTCAGTATAATATGTACTACTCAGGATCAGGGTTGATATATGTTCAAAGTTATAAGTTTATACCATAAACCGTTTAGGAGAAAACTGGCGGAGTATTATTCCCCAGAAAAAAAACAAAGAAGATTAATTCTTACCATTTTATAAGGTGATAAGACTTTTTAATGAGAATTCTTCGTATTTCTTACTTAATTTCTCTCTGTGCAGATCACTTCGCTGGCTTTGACGCCTTCGACACCCCCACTAATGGCTACCAGCAGGTGCCCATCTGCAAGTCGCTGTCGGATAGCTGCACAAGCTCCGAACTCAACGGACTGGTCCACAACGTCACGAGGTCCAACTCCCCCTTAGAGAGCCCCTCAAACCCCGTCATCCCTGCAGCTGTGCTCGCTGGCTATTCAGGTGTGTTTTCTTGGATATTTAGGCGTGAGTTTTTTCAGAGTTTGGTCTGAAATCAAACTTTTTGAATCTGAGAGAAAGACATCATTGATATAGAGAGAAATGCATCTTTAGGACCGTTCATCCAGTATTCAGACCTTTATTAAAATGAGAATCTCATCTCTTAAAGCCGCCGTTCCATTGAGAGTTTTTCTCTCAATATACAATGTAGTGTCAACTGTCATTGGCCTAAATATGCAATAGACACAAAACAAACTTGACAAATATTTGTTGAAAGCAAGCTTCGTTCTTTAGTTTTTTTTAAGTAATTTTATGTCATTTTTGAACATGTTTTTGAAAATTTATGGAGCAATGGAAGACGAGTAATTCTTCCATGAAAGTTCTTTCATGGATATTGCACAGAAAAGCCAAATTGGGTTTGGAATTGACAAAATCCTGGAAATGCAGATAATAATTTTGTGGAAAATTCTGGAAATTTAGACGTGCACCAAAAAGATTTCCGAATTTGGACGTGTGTTGCAAAGTCCTGGAAAATACTGACATACAGTTACACAGAAAATTCTTGGTGTTTTGGAAATGCTGTAGAATTTTGTTGGGACGACAAAAAAGGGATACACCGTGTGGTTGTTTTCTAATGAAATCAACGGTTCCAATGATCGTGGAATTCAAACAATCTCAACCGGAAATACTGTTCTTTTAATATACTGTTCTGAACTTTACTGATTGTAGTCACTGATTGTTCTTTGTACAAATAAGAGATTTGTAAAAAATATTCCAAAATAAACTTCACCAGTTTGATTATAACATATGTGTACAACTAACTCCAGAGTAAAAAAAATGATAAAGGTTTAAGCTAAAAACTAGAAATTTGCGTTGAGTTACAAACGCTGGGTGATCAGGCCGAAAACTCTTTCATGGGAACAATCGTTCATTTTGTTCATGAGTTCTAAATGACAGAAATTTGTCATATTTTAAACAAAAATTGCTTGTAATTTGATACCTGATGACGTCATCATGATGTCAGAGTTATATGCACCACTCAGGATCAGGGTCGATACATGTTCAAAGTTGCAAGTTCATACCATTAACCGTTTAGGAGAAAACCTGTTGAGACTTATTGTCCAGAAGAAGAAAAAAAGAAACAGAAATGATTAATTCTTACCATTTTAAAAGGGTTCACCCAAAATGTAAAGAATAAGAGGTTTAGAGTGCTAACACACAATACGAGTTTACAGTTGAAGTACATGTACATGCTCAGCACGTGTGTGTCAAGTGTACTTGTACATGTAAATGTACATGTGTGCTACATGTTGATCTTGAATGCAACCATCAAGGTAATTAGTTTGATGCACTCGTTGTTGATTTTACTTTGCACATGTACATGTAGCACCTGTGCACTTAATTAAAATGGTGGCATCCCGCCGAGTGCACATGACCAATTCGCAAATCGTTACAAACCTCTATCGCTGCTTTCTCTCAAGGCGAAATTTAGCGAGATAATTCAAAACTCGTGTGGAACTGGTTTTGATTTCATTTGTATGCAGAGTTCATAGATTTAGCAATTACGCATTCATAGATTTAGCGAATTCCGCAGTAATGGGCTACAATTGACTGCAAATTTGGGATTTGAGAGGGGGACACTGGAGGGTACAGCAAAGCAAGATATTTTGTTCAGTTGTTTTCTGTGCATTCCTGAGACCTTAATGATCATGTGTGCAAACAATTATAGAAAACCTTCTCTGTATCGGTACTTTAGAAATTGCAGGGGTCATCATAAAAATTGTGTTGAACAAAAGACAGAAATTTTGCTACAAATTGACATGACACTAATTATCATGTGCATGAATATTTATAACCCATTTAGGAGTGCTATAGCCACAATGAACACAATTGTGTTGGTGTTTAAGACACTTATAGGTAACGTACGTAACGTGGACGGAAATGTGACATTTTTTCTGTCCATGTTATGTACGTAATATTCTGAACCTTATACTCTGTAACATCTGAAATAAACAGTCGATTGTCTTGGTTTTTACAATGGTAACAATGCTGTAGGGATAAGAATGAAAAGGCACAATATTTGATAAAGACATTTATTTTAATTATAACTTTCTATCAGTATTAACAAATTTTCTGTCCATGTTACGTACGTAGCACTGTGAGCATAAATATCTTGTCAAATTTGCCTGGAAAGTCTTAAATTCTTTCAAAATTACAATCCTCAACAATGGGGTGGGAATGTTCAAGTGGAAAAGAGAAACAAACTACTTGATATTATTATCCTGCTTCATTTTCCAATCCCATGTCACACTTTTGTACCCCCTTAGTGTGGAAACATTGGACAAGTTATTTATCCATAAAGAAGTAAACAGCTTAACCATAAGCACCACTCTGTGTTGCTTCGTTAAATCATGGAGTAAGGTTTTTTTTTGTTGGGTTGGAAAAGGGAAAAGAATAAAGCATGTAAGGTGCTTCATCTTGAAACTTGTAGGGCTTCTAGCCGCAGGGGGAACAGAGGCCAGAACAATGTGCCGGCCAGGTTTTTCAGTTGTATCCTTGACACACTGAGGTCCCCGTTTAGCAGTCCTGTTGTGTATAAAAGTGTTGTGGTTTGTGTTTGTGCATGTTTGTGACTGGATCAGTTTATTTTGGCCTAGTGTTTTGTTTAATTGGGGAGTGTGGGAGGGCGCCTCATTAAGCGCCGGTGAGAAAAAAAACAAAACCACAAGAGACGAAATTGACCGATTTTGTTTTGTTCTGCAGCGGGTCTTTTGGCAATGATTGTAGGTCTTTGTTAGTGACTGCTTGTACTGTCTAGACATTGTTTGTCGGAAGGTGTGGATAACAATTATTTTTTTAGGTATGGTATGATTTTTATTAGAAAATAGTTTTGAAGGATTTTTCAGACAACTACAGAAATATTTTGCTTACATATGCAGGTAGATATTGGAAAAAAAAACTTTCAGAATTGATTTCCGGAAACCTTGTGTTTTTGTCCAAAAAAAATTGGAGACTTTTTCTGTGAAGGGCAATTTTCCGGTGCCTGCTAAACAATTTTTTATTTTGAAGGACAGTGTTTTGGATTTAATCTTTTTTTTTTTACTTGTTATTTTGTATTAATAAGGGGAAGTCAGTAATTGTCACCAATATTATATCCTTAACTCTTGGAGATTTCTTAAAATCCTCCGGAAAGTTCTGGAAGATTAGTACAAAACTGGTGTTATTTCAAGTAAAAAATGAACCAAGTATAAAGTTTCCTTTCGGGATGTAAATTGCCCCATGTAGTTTCTGCAAAGTTGTATATTGTGAATTGTTGTAGCACCACATAGTAGAGAAGGTTACACCTCTTTGTTCCGACACCCCTATGTTCCGACTGCACATATTCCTATTCCTAACCCTAACCCTAACCGGGAGTAACACAATCTAGGTTGTCGGAACATAGGGGTGTCGGAACATAGAGCAGTCACCGTAGAGAACATGTTCACAAAGTCTGTTAACAGTTTGGGTCACATTGTGGTGCCGCAAATTATCATATTTGAATTCGGAACACAAACTTTTAATGTATTTTTGTTCTCATGTTCACAAAGTCTGTTAACAGTTTGTGTCACATTGTGGTGCCGAAAATTATCATATTTGAAATTCGGAACAAAAACTTTTAATGTATTTTTGTCTTGTTGTTGCTTTTCTTCAGGGAGTGGTCCCATCCAGCTCTGGCAGTTCCTCCTGGAGCTCCTGACAGACCGGACCTGCCAGCACATCATCAGCTGGACCGGGGACGGCTGGGAGTTCAAGCTGTCCGACCCGGACGAGGTGGCCCGGCGCTGGGGCAAGCGCAAGAACAAGCCCAAGATGAACTACGAGAAGCTGAGCCGGGGCCTGCGCTACTACTACGACAAGAACATCATCCACAAGACGGCCGGCAAGCGCTACGTCTACCGCTTCGTCTGCGACCTGCAGAGCCTGCTGGGGTACACCCCCGAGGAGCTGCACGAGATGGTGGGCGTCAGCCCGGCCCGGGATGACGACTGAATGAAGCCCCGGCTGCGGCAGACCGATCTCTCCTCCACAAAACTCCCTCAACGTGTTTCTCTTTTCCTCACTTCTGAAGAGGCACCGAAGCCTGGATGACTGCATCGTTGAAACTTTTAATCCCAGCACCATTCTCTTATTTGGACAGGCCGTGGGTTTACACCTTGCGCTTGTCGTAACTCTTGTTTTCTTGGGCGAAGTTCGGGCAAGGACCATTAGTCGACCAGTGGTTGATTTGTGACGTACCTTATGCCTGCGCACTGATAGCAACGTGCGAACGTCTCTAGTCAAACGCTGGTCAAAATGCCGCCGCAAAACTTCTGGATCCTGGCTCTCTGCTTGCGTTATGAATGCGCGCGGCTATTGGTTACCAGCGAAGCAACCGACCCCAGTAGGCTGGTTCCAAATAGTCGACTAGCGTAGTCAACCACCGTCGACTAGACAGAGTTCGGGCAAATGTTAGTTAACCATTGGTCAACTATAGTCCTTGCGCGACCTTGCTATGGCCCTAGTTGTCGGAGAATCCTTGGACTAACCCACTTATGGTGAATGGGACACTCTTTTTTGCTCTTTTGGGAAGCCCGCCCCACTTATCTGTGGGATGTACTCCCTGCATGAGCTTCATTGAATAGCAGGTGACTTAATCACTGACTGATAAAAACAGAACCAACTTTTGCCCCTACGGTGTTCCTCTGGATAGCAGAAGATAAGGAAGTCGTTGATGAAAGACACTCAGCTGATCAGTTTCTTCTGGTAATTTTAATTTTTTTTGGAGGGGAGGTCGGTCAAAGCAGAAACAGCGCCACTGTGCGACCATTTGCGTTTATCCATTCCAAGTAAACCTTGATTTGTTTCTTTGCTCTGATAGACGGTGCTTTATCTGATGTTTATTGTCCATGCCAGCTGGCCAGAATCTGTCTGGCTACAGCTAGTTGCGTTTTGTGTGTGTATATATATATACATGTACGTCCTTTGCGGCACAGTTGTATCGGTCAGTTGTGCCGGTCATTTGTATTGGTCAGTTCCAGATGATTGCTGGCCGGACCGTTTCATTGACAGATCTAAATGGCCGGATGGCCTTAAAAGCCATGTTTCCCTGGTGTAAACCATTCTGTGGAGGATTTCTGTTTTAAATTTTAAAAAAAAAATTAATATAATCTTAAAAGAAGACTATGACTGTGCCACTGTTGACCAGTGTCACATCTCCACCGTCACAAGAGGGCGCTATACACTTTCCCAGAATGGCTGATCTAAAGAAGTGACGCGAAAGTAGCATGGGCGCATTCCCGTTCCTCAGGCCACATGCTAAAACGGTGGCAGCGGTGGGATGTGACAACCAGTAATTACCAAAACAGGGGTGCTAAGGAAAGAATGTACATGTTCTATATGTACTTCACTATTTTTGTCTTCATTAAGAAAATCAAAGTGTTGTGTTTTGTAATGCACAGTAATTTTGTCAAGATCTTTCTCCACTGTACTGCTGTCTCGAAAACAACAAAACCTGCACAAAAAATCGGCAGCTATTTTTGGATTCTACGTATGGATATAACAGTTGTTTAAGTTTTGTTGTAGCAGTTCTGTACTTGTTTGATACAGTGTTTTGAGAGAACCTTATTCATGCATCTTACCGGTATATTGGCAGCAACTGTCAAAATCCAGGGAAACTATTGAAAAGTTCATGTACTTTTCACATAAAACAACAACATTAAGAACGAATGGTGCTTTTTAATGATATAATTATGAAACAAGAGGCATTCCTTTGAAATAACAAAAGAGATTTTCCATTTTCTAGCTTGAACTATTTTTCTACTGGTACTGTAAATTCGAGCAGGAAAGCATACAAAGTGTAATTTCTTTTCTTTTTAGTTTTTCTTTTATATTGAAGTTGAAAAAAAAGTAGTCAAAGTGTCTTTAATTTATTTTTAAAAAAGTCAATTTTATTTTATGCAGACTGATTTTCCTCTGCACATCACAAATTTTCGTTGTCTTTCCGAGATTTTATTAGACTTAGCGACATAGCCGTTTAGCTTCCATGTGGGTATTCAAACACAGTGTTTGAGGTTTTTACCGGAGACTGGTGGTTGCCATGGAAACCTTGTACAGTTTTATTCTGTAAATAAACTCCTTTCTAGTGTTAGTACTTAGTCTTTAGTTTGAAAACTGAATCGTAAACGAACAAAATCACATATTAATCGATGTACTTGTAAAATACAAATTTCTCTGTCCAAACAGTTTTATGATCGCAGTACAGGTCAAGGATTTGAGCCCCGAAAAATCAACAACAACAAAAATCATGGAAGAGTTTGGCCAGTGATTAGTTCATAAGTTGAAGAGACATATCTGTGTGACCTTTCGAAGTGTGTCGCACCCCTTTAATCGTCGACACTACAAAGTGTACCACAGTTAAGCCAGATGCTAAAAACACAATTTTGTGGATGAATTCTTAGAAAATGATAATCGCCCAGAAGAAAAAAAACTGCGATGGAATGTAATTGTATCACACACTTGTATTTTCTGATAGTTTTGCGAGTCAAATCACATGTAACTTAAGCTCCAAATACATGTCCAGTTTTGTGTATTAATAAGTAAGTTTACATATTAACATGAGCTCTTGCTCATGAATATGTATGAGGTGTTGTAGTATCAACTTAAGAAAGGGAAAACAGTATCGACGATCTCAAATCTGTATTTTGCGGGCCAAACTGAAGCAGATTTGGAAATCTTCCGCCTCCTGACTTGCGCATTACAGTGCGCCCTCTCGTGGCATTTCTTACAAGTTTCATGTACATGTTTGTAATTTTTTTGTTCTTCTTGCCTCTGATCAGTGTAGAGAAGGTCAGGGGTCATTTATAACGACTGTAGGAGAGACTATCTATCGATGGTGATTGGTGATGTTTTTTGAAAAAGCTCATATTTTTACAACTGGTTTTCAATACAATTATATAAACACCGATGCTCTATTTTTTCGTCTGAAATTTTTTCACGAAGTTTTGTACAAAGAAAAAATTCACAGCCAGACTGTTGAATGTTGACATATTTTGCTTAAAAAAAAAATCGATGGCAAGATTTCTTTTGTTTAGCCGAATGTTCTTGTTGTAGTATAGATTGGTTTTTGCCTCACTTTTGGAAGACACCGTGTACGTCTATACATCTTGCGACAATTTGTGCGGTATTATAATCAGTTATGTGGCTTGCTCTATGCTGTCTGTGGATCGTAATGATGACATACATTGTGTATGTACCAGTCGTTTATCGGTGTTTGCAAATTGTAATTGTAGTTTATGGTTCTGACGTTTAAACGGCGAGAAATCAAAATGTTGATTCTCTGTTTGCTTAAGAAAAAGACATTATTTCAAAGATTTTTTTTTGTCCTTTTTTCGGGGTTTGTTTTCTAGCTTTGTCGGATAATTGCACCGGTGCTGGCACTGGTAAGTGAAAACAAAGACTATGGTATTTTTTTTTCAACAAGTCTATTGTAAATGTGTATATGTTTTCGTGTAAAAAAAAAAAATAGTGGTAATTTTTACGCCTTGCATTGCCCCTTGATAAATTTTGGTAATTTTACGTATGATTGTTGTATAGCCAACTGTCTCAGCTCGTACGTGGTTCTTGGTATGAAAAAAAATGCGCTATTATATGGGGAAACAAACGAGGCTTACCAAACGAGGCTTACCATGGTTTACCAAACGACGGCTTTTTCTCTGGGCTTCGGATCCGACTTCATGATATTTAGCCCCTGAATTGGGGGACTATGACTAAATGTAATGTCAGTTGTGTGCTTCGGGATTGTCGAATTCTACGAAATGAGGCCACTGAGATTGAGTTGAACATTTAAAGTCGTCTCAATGATTCTGGAGCCAGGACCTTAGAGCCGAACCCTAAACAAAAACGAGGCTTGGGAAATGCCCACCTTGAACTTCATATGGGTTTGTTTGCGAGTTGTTTCCTTTCTCCACGAATCTGTGACGTAAGCCGTGCATTTTGCCCTTCGTTGTGACTGTTAGATATAATCTGTGCCTTTGTAATAACGCTTTGTCGAATGATGTTCATTGTTAATACCTGTCCGAGCTTCAATAAAAGAGAAAGTCATTCATACATGACGATAAATACCTGAAAAAAAATGCTTGTTTAATTGTTTTGTTTTCTGCCAATGACATTTGAATACTGCTCTTTGATTTAGTTCCAAAATTGTAAGAAAAAGAGTTTGTCCAAAACGCGAAGCTCTATTTTGTTATCTTTTAGAATCCTGCCCTCTATGGTCGTCCAAAGTCAGTTTCGATGGCTGTTATAATTATACTTAAACACAATTCATAAATACCTAAGACAGTTCTACCCATTCCTATTGGTCCAGAGCCTGTCACGTGGCCGGTCTTATAAACGGATGATAAAGACATGGCTAGCTGGTCTTAAACACTGTTCCAAAGTGACAAATGTAGTTGAAAACAGCTTTGTTTAACTGTGACGTGTTCTATAAGTTTTCAAATTCGTGAAACTTTTTCACTTACAAGTTTTTTTAATGGGTAAACTGCGTTTTGGAAATAAATGCTTAAAATGGCTTCCTCAGTAGAGTTTTTGTCCACTCATACAACTTAACTACAACGAACACGATATGGGGTCCATAACAAAAGTTCCTTATAGTAGGCGTTCGTTAGCTCTGAGAGCAAAAGGGGATGTTCGTTATAGCCAAATGTTCGTTATAGCCAAATGTTCGTTATAGCCAAATCTTCTTTATATCCAAATCTTCGTTATAGCCAAATCTTCGTTATAACGGCGTTTTACTGTGCATTGTGACTTTGTACATTAATAGGGCACTGCTCTTTCCAAAAAGTGTGAGTGCACAATAAGCTCTGGCCGTGTTGCAAGAAGTCGTGCATGAAATCAATCGAAACGATTCCTGCCAGAGCTGAAAAATGTGACGCCAAAAAAATGCGACGCCGATGGCACTCAATTATGGAACAACATACTTTTGGTCAATTTTCCGGGGACAGACTGACAGACAGACAGACCATCCGACCGACTAAGTGACATGTATAGCTCCTGCCAGCGCCTATAAAGAAATTCAGGATCAAGTAAAGCGAAAGCCTGATATCAAGTCTAACTTTGCACCATGCAACCCGGTTACCAGCGTTTTGAATACTTAAAATTGTCAACACTCAACAGTGCTTCTTTTTTTTTTCAGTTCGGAAACGGCGCTAATGATTTGTCACACACATAAGCGCTAAAAATAGACGTTTCATTGAGTCAGCCGGCGATGATATATAGCGAATGCATCAGTCGATTC